AGGGAAATAACTGCTTCAATGCTTGATCATTCAAAACAAATGTTCCACATTTTTTTCAAAACAAATGCTGTCTGGATTAAGACAATTTAAATTCACTTGAAAACATTCCAAAGCTGGAACTTGTAATGAAAACTGCTGTTTAATCACATGCATTTCAACATCTTACATTTGCCCATTTTCTTTTCAGTATTAGGCCTGCTTTAGACAGGGCAACCCCAAAGGAGTATGTGTTCATTGCAAAAGAAAGAACAGTGTGCCTCAATGCTGCAGCAACACGATTACAGCCTCATCCACGACCGATGAAAGTCCTCCCTCAAAAGATCAGTTTTTTACAAAGTGGAACATTGCACCACACCCGACTCTCCTGGAGACAAACAGAAAAGACTCTACCGTCTTCAGGGACAGACACTGTCCGAGTGGCTGCAACTACAGTCATTGCGTGTGTCATTTGTGTGTCATGTCCCCACCCCATCCCTGCTCTTTTCGAGGAGTTCTGGTGCAGGAAGAGGGATTGCAAAATTTGCAACACAAACTACACTGTTGCTAACCCACATGGAAGGCCATAGATTATTCTAACAGGGTATCTCTGTATCCCACAACTTTTAAATTTAGATTTCTGAATATTAATAGAAAGAGACAAGTTTCTCAGCCAGTATCCTGCCTCTCTGCACACTTAAGGTAACAAGTTACTGCAGAAACACACGTTTTAGATTTCATACAAAGACTTCTGAGAAAAAATAAACAGGGGAGGTCCAAGGCAAATACACATAGGAAGATGAAATACTGAAATTGATGTACCTTCCTTGTTACTCATATATTGCAAATTAGTTATTACCTATTAAAAGGCAGAAACTGCATTTATTAAGTCCTGCTGTTGCTGTAACTGTGTATTTACCACAACGCTCAGACATGCTGAACTCATTTGCTCATAACAGAAGTCACTGGCAAAATGAGGCCTTTAGTTTGCCTTTCCTTTCAAGACTGAAATGAAAGACCATCATTAATGTATTTCAAGCAGCATTGCCAACTCACAATTATCTCTCGTCTCACAGAATTTTTCTTAAAGATGTAAATTCCAGAGTCAAGAATTATGCAAAAATATCAGGTTTTGCTTTTTAAATAATTGTTTTTATGTTCTGTTATTGTGGGGAAAAAAGCCACAACACTTCAGCAATATATATCAAAAAGAGAAAACTAAGGACTTAGATAGGACTTTCATCACATTTTGTGACATCACTCTGCTGACGGAATGAATATTTTCCTTAGATTAGATGTAAAATGATGGCCAAATAACCACCAACAGAAGTACTGTTTTTAAAGATCAAGAAGAAAAACTTTTTACATCGGCCTTGGACAGTTTGTGTTTGCTTGTTTGTCAGTGTATTCCATCTACTTTAGCCCACCTGAAACTTCCTCTCCCTCCCCTACACCCCAAGTCTTTTTAAAAAGCAATATTCAGTCCTCATAATGCTGCACTTGATATTTTTTAAAATCAAATCTTATTAAGAAAACAGAATGAAAGAAATACTAATTATTCCTAGCTTCACAACAAAATAAATTGAGAAGTAAAAGGAAGTATTTAATGATTTAATACTAAGCTATAAATCGAGGTGTTGTAGGTTAACCCAGTGTCACAGCTGCTCATTCACTCCCCCTCAGTGGGAGGGAGGAGAATATCAGTAGAGCAAAAGTGAGAAACCTCACAAGTCAAGATAAAGCCAGTTTCATAGGTAAAGCAAAGCTGCGCACGCAAGCAAAGCAAATTATGGAACTTATTCCCTACTTTCCATCAGCAGGCAAATGCTTAGCTATTTTCAGGAAAGCAGGGTTCATCATGCGTAACAATTACTTGGGAAGACAAATGCTGTAACTCCGAATATCCTCCCCCCACCTTTACAAGCCAAGCATGACGTTCTATGGTACGGAATAATCCTTTGGTTAATTCAGGTCAGCTGTCCTGGCTGTGTTCCCTCCCAGTCTCTTGTCCACCCTCAGCCTACCTGCCGGGGGGAGCAGAGTGAGAGACTGGGAAAGCTTTGAGTCTGTGGAAGCAACAGCTAAAACCTCAGTGTGTTATCAATACCATTTTGGTCCCAAATTCAAAACAGCACCATACATGTTGCTGTGAGGAAAATTAACTCCATCCCAGCCCAACCCAGAACACAAGCTCATGCTACAAAAATAAGATATGGGAAAACATGCAAAGACCATACCTTCATTTCAATAACTGTTTGAAGAGCCTTCGTCTTTGCTGGCTCAGGCTGAAGTTGGGTTCTTCTATGTAGTTCCTGTGGAGGGACACGATAGAAATAAGCCTGACGACTCATCTTTCCATTATTTTAATCACTCATATGAATATATTACAACAAAATAAAAGTGTGATGATTAGAAGCATGTAACTCCAAATGCTACAGGTGCTTTGCTCTCTATACTCCCTCTAGCATCGCTGCAGTGCCTATCTTATATTACAGTCAACTCTGACAGCACATGCGCTATTTCTGAAACCCTTATCAATAATTAATGTCAATGGTGACAAAGCCAGCAACTAATTTCTTAGTCCAAATACAATGCTGCTGTTTCTGCTTAACCATTAAAACTTAATTAATTCAGTTGTGTTACTAATTCAAACACTGTTAAGTCATTTAAAATCTTTTACTGTAGTTTCTTCTAAGTTTTTCATCTAATATCTGAAATAAGCAATTTAAAGTCATATTTAAATTTGACATTTTAAGGATAATTATATAGTGGGTTGACGCTGCACCCTCTGTGGTAACAATTACATTTCAGTTTTCACATTTTCGTACTATTTTTTATGCATCTTAATCCATAGGTAAAAAAATAAAATAGATTGCAATAGTTAAGACATACAGTTAGCAGAATTAATGTCCACTGGTCTTTATAAAAAAGCAGAACTCGGTCTCTTATAAAACACAGGAATCGTATCTTGGTATGAGATATCTCAATAAAAAACATATCTACATAGAACAACGTACTGGGGGAGAGGGGAGGCGTAGGGGTACGTGTTTGTTCTGCATTTTTTTATATATAGAATTAACTCTCCACATTATAAAAAGAAAGAAATCGTTGTGATGCACCTATACAGTGAATCTCTCAATCACCACACCAGCTGTTTTTCTCAGATGAAACAAGTACCTTCACTAAACAAATGTTTTAAAAAATAAGAGTATGTTGTAGATTTGTCATACAATTCTCCTACAAAAGTCATGGAAAAATAGTTGGCCAGTCAAACCATTATCTGATCAGCAAAAATTACAACTAATTCTAAGACCAGACTTTGCTCCCCAAGGCCACATAAACTGAGTTGGAATATAAACAGGATTCCACACATTACCCAGGGAGACAAACCAGAGTTTCCACCCCCTTAGCCAAAGATGAATGGGCTGCCAAAGATGAGTATTCCTAGATGTCTATCATAGCATGAAGCCTTGCCTCATAATACTTTTCCTGTTTGCTTTATGAATCAATCTGATGCTGGCTGACTTAAAAGCTTTTCTTCTCTATCCCTGATGGTAAAATGAAGCAGACTTTAGGATTCTGGAGAAGATCAGAAAATGACTCCCACTTTATTATTCTGTGTGGGTTTTCTTCCAATCAGATTCAAATGTTCGGAGACTCCCACAAGGCTCAGTTCTTGAATTCATGTTGTTCTATGTGTGCATTTTTTCTTTTGGGGTACCTGATTCAGGGACATACTTTTGGGGTACTGATTCAAAGGATACTACCACTTTATGTGCACGATACCTTATACTGATCATTTTACTATCTGAGGTCATCTGGAGGGTTTCAAATTTGCCTGAACAGCTAACCAAGAGGTATTCTGAACATTTCATTAAGTCCTTATAGACTCAGGAAACCAGATTTTTATCCATTACATCATTTTGGGAACGATGCTGCTTTGCCTTTTTAATTTCTTTTAATAAAAAGCCCAGGGAGCCTAATAAAAAACTTGGTTTAAAAAAAAAAAAAACCCAAACCCAACCATCAGGGACAGTTTCTTTTAACTTGAACTGGATTGAATAGAACTCTTGACATATATATCCATGAAAAAAAATACTTGTGCCATCATCTCTGCAACCATCAAGGGCTATACAAACAATCCCTCAGAGATGTACTCATTTATGAAATTACAGTTTCATTATAATCCCTTTATAGGTATCACTGCAATTGGTAGCAGTTCTGAGTAACCACTTTGCACATACAAATTAATTATAATTCTGTATAACCAGATGTTCACACCTGGGATTTCATGATGATGCTTAGCTGTCAAGGTAATTAACGCACCCACACAATATTGACAGGTAATCAGATCTTTTTCTTCATATTAAATTTACTCTAATATTCTTCACTTGTAGACCAAAGTGAGTCTTAAGCCAAAGCCGGCCATTGCTTTCTTCTTCCACCGTTTCTGGGATATTAGATTAGCATCTTGTGTTGGCCTCAAGAGTAACGTCAGCAAACAATTTTGCTACTAATTTAAGCATCAAAAAGTACCAAGAGAAGACAGTCTCTATCGCCTATTTCCTAAAACAATGGTGGAAGTTGAAGTCCTGTTCTTTAGTTCAGAAAACACTAAAAAGGCCTTGCAAGATTTTATCATTGACTGGTATTCAAAATCTACAGCACATATGATAGGCTGAACCTATAACTAATTAAAACCTAAACAAAACTGCCTTTTTATCCCAGTTGTACTATAAGACACTTCATCATTTGG